CTCCCAGAATTCCCTGGCCAGCATGCTGGCCAGGGAATTCTGGGAGATGAAGTCCACCCATCTTAAAGTTCCTGAGGTTGAGAAATACTGAGTTAAGAGTTCCTATCTAGCAGCAGACTGCAAATTTAGCAATATAGCTGAGGGTTTATATTACACTTTTTCCTCCCATGAAAACATTATTTCCTGCACATACAGGGGTGCACAATAACAAAACACCCAGTACTCCTAATATAGATGCAAATTAATATACACACACATATATAAATTATGAGTGATCCTGTAAAGTCTCTTCGGTATGTGCTTGGAAGTTTATTATTTATTTATTTATTTATTTATTTGATTAATATGGCCACCCATCTAAAATCTATGACTCTGGGCCACTAACAATACATAAAAACAAGATAAAAGCATCATAACAAAATAAAAATAATTTTATGCAAGGTCTGGATGGGAGGCTGGTAGGAAATCCCAGGGCTGCTGCAGAGTGTGAAGTGGAAAAAAACGTACCCAAAGGAAAAAAATGTCCAATTATTCCTTGACAGAAAAACTTCATGAACATGTCTAAGAAGCCACTAAAAGTCAAGAGCAACTTCAGGGAGACTTTTATCTTACACTGTTCTTTATAACAATAGCAGAGAATATGTAGCTCAGGGTTGAATTGTGGAGTTCTTGGTGGTCTCTGAGCTTGGTTGTTTGCTTGCAGACGTTTCGTTACCCAACTAGTAAAATCTTCAGTGCGAGGGAGTGTGGGAGCTGTTCAGAGGCAATAGCATGCCCTAACATTTTGATTTCCTCCTTGGTTGTTCCTTGATTAGACTTCTTAACCCAAAAGCTGACAAGCTCATTCACATAAGCATTGTGTATCTGAGGCACTTAAGAAGCAGCTTAAGTGAGACCAATAACAAAAAAAGACATTCCTGTCCAGAGTTATCATTTAGAAGACATGGCATAAAAGAAAAAAAAGAGTGAATTCAGGTAGCATCTTTTAAGTCACATACTGGCCTGCTGCCCTCTAGCATAATGTCCCTGTTTTATAAATGTTACGTCTGTGTCCAAGCGTATGCTACTTTTAAACATGGGTTTGCTGCCTCAAAATGGCAAGGTAATGTACAGCAAACATTGGCTGAGTTGTGGTTTAAGTTCACAACAAAATAATTTGGGGGCCTGCACGTTGCCTGGTATGGGAGCACCAAGAACTCCACAAAAAACGATAATTAAGGAACCACCAAGGCGGAAACTACACTCCCACCAAAACTGGCAGGGCAAGTTACTGCATATAAGCAGGCAGCAAACCCCACACTCTCTTGCCCTGATGAAGTTACCTAGTCTGGTAATGAAACGTCTGCAAGCAAACCACCAAGCTCAGAGAGCCCCAAGACCACCACTGCTCTTTATCTCCCCATTCAGCCATGAAGCTCAATGGGCGCATGTGGGCCAGTCTCTGCCTCAGACTAGCCTACCTCACAGGGTTGTTGGGAATATTTTTTAAAAAATTATTTCTAAAAAAAAATCATTTCCATTTTGTTGGCGATACAAAACTAAGGGGAAGGAGAGAAGTAACTGCCCTGACTCGATTCCCTTAGAAAAGACAGTTCTCAAATAATACTAGCAGCAAAACGGTTTCTGGGGAGGGGAGAATCCGTTCACTTCGGACTGAACCGCAACCACTGGGCCTCAGGGGGAATTTTCAGTTTTATCAGCCCCACAGCCTCCCTCGTTCAGCCATGGACGTCTGCCCAACCATCTAGGCCGTGGTCTCTGCCCCTCACCCCGAAACGCTCCGCGTCCCGCCTGAAGCGCCTCACGTCGAACTTGGCTCCAGCTCCAAGTCTTCGGAAGAGCTCATGGGCATCCATGCCGCTTCTCTCCCCTTCCCGGCATCCAACGCGCGGCCGCGAGGGCGCACACGCGTTGCCCGGCAACCGGGAGCGAAGGACCAATTGGAAGAGGAAGCGAAGCGAAAAGAGCCATAGAGAGGGTGAGGGAGAGAGTCACCCCTACGAATAGGCTTCCGTCCTTTTTAGGCTTAGACATAATCAAGGCTGTTTAAGACTTCCGGTTTCCATTTGAGGTTCTTAAATATTTCATCGTGTAATCCTATGCAGACACGCACTTATGAATGGCATTCACTGGGATTCATTCCCACCAAGCAAGTATATAAAACAATTTATCTCAACTTCAGGAACTTCAGCATGCTGGCTGGGGAATTCTGGGAGTTGAAGTCCACACATCTTAAAATTCCTGAAGTTGAGAAACACTGATATACAATGTAGGGATACAGATTTAGAGCGCAGTATTATATATGCCTCTAAAAAGATAAAGTCTCAGTTGAATTCAGTGGGGCTTACTCCTATGTTCCTAAAACATCTTCAGAAAATGTTAAAGACCTCCCAACTTTCTCTTTGAAAGCAAATATAGAAAGAATGAACCAGCCCTCCTATCCTGCTCCATCTAGGCTTTCCTGCCCTGCCCTTTCTTATTTTATTTTATTTTATTTTATTTTATTAATTTAATTTAATTTAATTTATTTTAATTTTAATTTATTAGCTGTCCCACTGTAATGCACTCTTTTGTTTGGGCTTCCATCCTCTGCTCTTTAAACTGAGACCTAGAAGGATCAGGTTTATGGTTTCTTGGAGATAATTTCCCCTTATTTTCAAGGGTTGCAGCCACGTGCAAGGCATTTCTTGGTACTAGTCTTCTGAGCACCATGAGGGGGCACCTGAGGCATACAACAAACTTAACTCTCCTGAAAAAGCAGGAATTTCTCCAGCGGTTAACCTTTTAATAGCATGAATCATCACGTATTAATTTCCAAAATGCTCCTTCCATTTCCTGAGCACAAATTGGATTACAATTTGATGAATAAGTATCATAAGCCAGAAGGTTGTAACTGGCAGATGTTCATTGCACATTATAAATTGCAGAATTTACATAAACATCATTATTATTACTATTATCAAAGGATACTTCCTTTCCCTCCTAGATACTCATCTGCTCAGACGTCAAAAACTGCCTTGCACCAATACCTCAAAAGAAATGTCTCAAAATCCCCATATGTTTTTAGGAGTAGTGTTAAATATTAGAGGCCAGACTGCAGGAGCACTTTGCCATGAACTGGAAATGAACTGGCCTGGGAGTTTGAGGGCTGTGTGCAGGATCTGAGCTGTTCCTAGCCCTGCACTCTTCTGGACAGAGAGCTCTGATGTCATTCCTGGGCTCTGTTGGAGCCCCTCTCCCAGCTCAGAAGTCACAGCCCCAAGGGCTCCTACCACCACTGGGACCACTTTGGCCTTGACTGCGCACATCCTCTCTAGTTCTTCCTTCAGGCCCTGGTCCTTCTCCAGCTTCTCATACTCCTTCTTCCTGAGGTTGATGTCACTTGGCACTGCTACATCTATCACTACCGCTGTCTTCTAGTCTTTGTCTACTACCACGATGTCTGTTTGATTGGCCAGTACCTGCCTGTCTGTCTGGATCTGGAAGTCCCACAGGATCTTAGCCCTGTTATTCTCCACGACCTTCTGTGGACCTTCTGGACTTGGGAGGGCCTAGCCCATACACTGTGCAGATGTTCTTGTACACAATGCCAGCTACTTGGTTGTGCCGTTCAGTGTATGTATACTTATTTCTGATGCTGATCCCCAGCGACTGTGGGAAGAAAAGAGGCATAAAGGCAAATTTTGTATCCCTCCTCTTCCAACATTGCCTGAAGAGACCTCGCCCCACTTGCAGCTAACAGTAGCACCAACATGCCCTGACAATCTCTATTTTTCTGCGGTGTCCCTGTGATGTTGCCTTCATTGTGTTTTCAGCCCAGGTGTGAGACGTCCTTAAGTCATGGCTGGCTGCACCAGGGTTGAAATGAATGGCAGGGTTGGGATGTAAAATCTGCCGTGCTTTGCAGCCCACAGGGGTGTCTGCAGGGCGTGGTCAAAAAAGTTAAGATGGCAGTCACATTGATGCAATTGAAGCTCTGCCATCTTGACTTTTTTGACTGCACCCTGTGGACACCCCTGGCTGCCCATGTTGGCAGTGACACAGTCAGGGACTGGTGGGGGGAGTTTGAGTCCCTGGTCTTCTGTTTACTTTGAGCTACTGTTGTGCATGCCCCATCCCCTTGAGTCCAGGGCCCTCTCCACTGGCTAGGGTTACCAGGCATCTGGCACAAGGAGGACATGTTCTCCTTTTTGTCCTCAAGTCCTCTGGCCAGCAGGCATAGCCTTAAAAACAAATACCTCGGTTCACGAACGCTTCTATTCACAAACAATTCGGTTCACGAACAGCACTGTTCGCAAAATTTTGCTTCCGTTCGCGAACTCCGCATCGGGTGACGAACACAACCCGCGGCCATTTCCCCTGCCGTGACACGTGGTCATGGCTTCCTGTAGGGAGGGGGGCTCTCCCTCCAAGCAGTAACCGCCTCCCCACCTGCCTTCCTGTCCTCCACGCCAGAAGTCGCCTCAAGCAAGGTTAGCGTTCTCTCTCTTCATCCTGTACTGAACTGTACTTTGTGTCATATTTTTGTGGTTTAAAAA